GGCCCCGTCAGAGAGGGCGGCGGGGCCGCGTCAGTGAAAGCGGCGGGGCCGCAGGGAAAATGACGACCCGAGGGGTCGCTAAAAAAATCGCGCCTCGGGGGGCGCTTCGGTGGGCCAAAAAAAAACGGTCCGTAGAAGGACCCGCTCTATACCATGTGAGAATAAGCGAACAGGAATGAATGAACTAGCAGTGAAAATGAGTACAAGTAGGAAACCCTAGAATTGTGTACCCCCTATAGGCTAACCCACTGTAGCCTACACAAGCAGAACATATATAATGTTTGACAATGAGTAGAATGTAGTCAGTGCCCTTCGTGAGTCGGTACATGCCCTGGTCGTGTGGAAGTTGGCGGAATCCGATGCGGATGAGTCGAGCTTGTAGATACTGCTGCCACAGTCTCGAAGCCTGCTTAATGCCGTATAGAGATTTCAGTAGTTGGCAGACTTGATTCGGATCTCCATTGGAACAGTGTGGTAGCTCGACGAAGATCTCAGCGTCAACAGGTGCGTAGAGGAAGGCGTTGGCTACATCGATTTGACGTAGCTTCTTCTTCTTCAAAGCGGTTATCGCGAGGAGAATCCACAGAGAGGTGTGTCGGCTAACTGGCGCAAATGTTTTGGTGAAGTCCCGTCCGTGCTCTTGGTCAAAGCCACGTACGACCCAGCGCGCCTTGAAGTTGTCGATGGTGCCGTCTGCTTTGGTTTTCACACGGAAAACCCATTTTCCGGTAAGGATCGTCTTGTTGCGTGCCACGCCGATGGGAACAATCTTCCAGGTGTTGCGTTCTTCCAGTGCCTTTAACTCCCTGTCCATGGCTTTGCGCCATTTTCTTCTGTGTTCCCCCCCCAGAGCTTGCTGAACTGTGGCAGGCTCCTTAGGTGGCGCCGAGCCGTGGACTGAGGTGACGAGGCCAAGTATCTGCAGTCTGCTCTGTGTATAGCGGGGAAGTGTTGTATCCTCGGGATAGAGGGCTTTGTCTCCTGCTTCTCGATCAGGTATGAAGTACGGTCCTATGCGTTCTGCTTCGTTGGTGTTGACTCTTGCAGGTGTAATGTAACCGTTGTCGGCGAAGTGATAATAAACTTCCGCGTTGATGCTTTTGCGAGGATCTTCGTCGTTCATGGGTACGTCAACTAAGTAGTAGGGAAGAGGTCAGGCTTCCTCCGAGGCTCTGCCCACGTTCTGTTTGTCCTAGTCAGCTTCATCCTCTGCCAAGGCAAAGGCTCGGGTGCCAAAAAATCCGCCCAAGAGGTCTGGGTTTCCTTCTTCCACGTTGGCAAGGTCTGTCCGAAGGGTGAGGTTTTCGTAGACGATGACATCACGTGCTGCCACTGTTTCCTTTGTGTTGATGTCGAAAATCTTCCATGCGTTGTAATGTTTTTCGATGCCCATGTGTAGTCCCCACTGTGCGCGTTGGGAGAAACGGCCGGCGCGTGCAACTGGGGGTCGGTACTGTACCACGCAGCAAAAAAATCTCAACATTTTTGTGCTGCCCAGTTTCTTGTCCACAGCAGATGCGGTGATGCGTTGTTCGGGAGCAATGATGACGAGAGCAAGTTGTGCAGCATCACGGCGTGGTCCATTGCTTCGAGCCACTGGTGGTTGGGGAGCCGCATGCCACGTAGCAGCTTGCGCATGGTGTTCTGTAGAGTCCTGTTCATTCTTTCTGCCAATCCCTGCTGTTGGTGAGCGTAGGGAAGGGAGATGAGTCGTTTGATGCCTCTTTCTGCCAGGTAGTCCTTGAACCTTTGTGATTGATATTCCCCTCCTCCGTCTGACTGGAAGCTTTTTAGCTTGACTCCTGATTCTCGTTCTGCTACTGGAAGCCAGGCGACGAAGGCTTCGAAGGCCATGTCTTGGCTTGGAAGGTTAAGGTGCCGGACGTATCGCGTGGCGGCATCGATGAACGTGATAACGTAATTGTATGCTCCTTGTCCTGATTCGCGGCTGTACAGGATGTCGCTGTACACTTTCTCCAGAGGTGCGTATGCTGGTGCGCTCGGGTTGTGATGCGAGACGAACGGCTGATGCGGTAAGTCCTTCAGGACAGGTAAAGCACGTTCCGCAGACTCGCTGGAGTTCTCTGCCGCCCGTTAGAAGTAGTGAGTCTTTGTCGAGCACGCCTGCTCTTATCGTGTTGTTTAACGTCGTGTTGCTTGGATGTCCCATTCTTGCATGCCAGGTTCCTTCAGTGGCGCGATGTCTAGGTGAACGTTTGTACAAGTCGGAGTTGGAGTAGAAGCCTGCGGTGAAGTTTGCGTTTCGATGGACTTCTCGTGCAGTTGGGTTCAGCTGCTGCGCGGGAGTCGGTGGTGTGTTGTCGACGAAGACTGGTGCCGTTGAAGGGCCAGCAATTGGTGCCGATGTTGTTTCCGCTGCTGCCGATGTTGACTCTGCTGATGACGATGTTCTCTCTGCTGCTGCCGATGTTGTCTCTACTGCTGCCAATGTTGTCTCTGCTGCTGCCGATTGAATTGTTACTAATGCTCTCGTTCTTTCTGTTTCAGGTATGGTGTGTGAATACCAGAATTCGCCGGGGCTGAAGTCAGGGTCAAGGTCCGGGGGGTGTGTCCAAGAGGTGAAGGTCACGATTCCATCGCTGTCGGCAGCGCCTAAGTCTGGAATGAAGTCAAGAACGAAGACGTTGTTCTTCAACACAGCTTTTCCGATGTAGAGTCCGCCTCTCCCGTGGTGCTGTCTGCTTCAAGGTGAATCCCTTTCGCCATCAGTTGACTCACACTCAGTAGGTTGTAGCCGAGTCCCTCTGAGATTAAGACCTTTGACATCTGCAGTATTACGTTTGTTTCTCTTGACTGAAGTTGAACAACTCCTTGTCGTCGTGTGCGCAGATTCTGGTTGTTGGCGACGGTGATGACGACTTCGCGCTGGAGTTGGTTTTTGCGCTGAACGAAGCAACCCGAGGAGCACATATGTTGTCCGCAGCAGCTGTCCAAGAACCAAGTGTCCTTCCCGGACGGCTCGCTCTGGGCGATGGCTGCGTATGTCGGGTTCGGCTCCAGTGTTTCGCGACGAGGAGTGCTCTCATCGAGCAGTTCTTCTGGTGAGTAGTGTGGTGGTGGTTCGGTGATGCAGGAGTCTAACAGTCTCGCCATGCAGCTCACAATGTTTCTTGCTCCTTGTGCAGATTGTGTCAGAGATGTTGTTGAAGACTGCGTTTGACTCGTGGGGTGCGCCTGTGTGGATGCTACTTGGCTGCTTGAAGGACGGAGTTGTCGTTGCGGCGGTGTTGGCTGCTGTTGATTCGGGCAATGTGTGCAAGGGTGTCCTGATGTCTTGCAAGGATGACAAAACGGAGGTACGGGTTTTGGTTGATGCCGGTTGTTGTTGTAGCATCGTTGAGTGTGGAATGCAAATTCGGGTACTGAGGTTTTCTTCTTCTGCCGCTCCTCGTGCAGGTCCATGTCTTGTTGCTCAGCGTGTATTTCGGCGCAGAGTGCTGCTTCAGAGAACTTTCCATGAGCTCGGAGTATGGCGCGGGTGGAGTGCCAGTGAGGACCAAGACCGGAGATGACAACTATGACGAAGGCTTCTTGAGATATCGATCCTCTACATCGAAGGAGTTTGTCGCGCAATTCGCAACAGCGGCTAATATACGCCATTCCCATTTCGCCCGGTTTCATTTCGACTGTTGTCAGCTGTGCCATTAGTCGACTTTGATTGACTCTGTCTGTTGCTTGATACAGGTTCTTCAAGTTGTTGTACGCGAGCTCGGCGGAGTTGCCATATCCCCGATAAGACCAAATATTATGCTGCTGGTTTGGATTAACGTTCCTCAGCAGGATCGTGTAAGCCATCATTGACTGATACGTGTACTGCTGCTTGTCGTATTGCGTTCCGTGTGTTGGGTATGGCAGGGACCCGTCGAAGAATCCAAGAATCTGGGCGCCTTCCATCATCAGCTCAAACTCGAATGACCAGGTATAAAAATCCTTCCCGTCGAAAGGTGTTGATGTTTGAAGTTTCAGAACATGCGCGAACTGCGACTGAACCTGAAGTGCGTCCAACGTCTTTTCTTGTCCATGTGAAGGTTGCTGACGCGGCATGAAGCTTATAGAGCCGCGCCGGGGCTCGTACGGAGCAAAGGTAGGCTGCTGCTGGCTTCCGCGCGCATAGGATGAGCCGTCAAGGCTCATTGGTGTAACGTCGTTGTTGTTGTTGCTGTTGTTTGACCGTGCAGGTGCCGTTTGTTGATATTGTTCGTAGAAGGACATGAAGGAGAAGAACTTCTCCATCATGCTTGGGTGGAAGCCCGCGGCTTGATTTGCAGGAGTTTCAGTAGACCCAGCTGCTGGTCTTGTTGCCGTGCCCTCCTCTGTTTGTAGGCCAGAGGCAGGAGGTGGAGTAGGAGTAGTACCGGGAGAGCCGTTAGAGGAGCTTCTCTCCTTTTGCGTTGCCATGCCTTCTAATGTTGTAGGTGTCTTGGAAGTAGTTGAGTTTGCCCTGATAGCTCTCATACCATGTTGGGCTGAGAAAAAGCCCTTAGGATCTTTACAAGGCTAAACTTTGGGTAGGAATGTTGTAGTTGCGGGAGCGTTTTTATAAGAAGTATTGAACCACCTTGCGCTGGTATATGAGGGCAAAGTAGATTGATTAAAACAAGGGAATACAAGGTTTTATAAGAGTACAAGGAATGCGAAGAGATGCAGCTAATAACTGTTTTACTGTTGCTGTTGCGGTTCGATACAGTGACGACTCGGGCAACTGCTTTGTATCGAGTCAGTTGTTTGTCCTTGCTGTCGCGCTGTACTTGTCAAGTCAAAGGTCGCTGACCTTTGATCTTCGCGTAACCTCCAGCGGTTACTTCACTTGTCAACCTCGATAGTTAACTCGCCGATGCTTTGTGTGTGCTTCGCTTCTTTTACGACTTAATGTTTCGACACAGCAGAAGCGCTTAAATCACTTGTTTCCAACACCAATATCAATAACAGTACATGGCATAGCTATTGTAGACGACTAGTATCATCAAACCCTATACTCATCACGAGTGGATGCATGGCAGACCTGCATAGACACGAACCACAAACTCTGATGCACGGTGGGGAACAAAGAATGCACGGAGGCAGAAAATGAGCAAGGGAGACACGGAGGAAGGGCGGAAGGGTGAGCGAGATGAAGCGTGGGTAGGGGAGAGAGAGCGGGGAAAGGCACTAAGGCAGAAGCGTGGGCGACGGTGAGAAGATGGGCAGATGAGATGATCAAAAGATGAGATGATGGGCGGATGAGATAATCGGCGGATGAGACGATGGGCGGATGAGATGATGGGGGGATGAGACGATGGAGGAATGATATGATGGGGGGATGAGATGATGGGGGGATGAGATGATGGGGGGACGAGATGATGGGGGGATGAGATGATGGGGGGGTGAGATGATGGGGGGATGAGATGATGGGGGGATGAGATGATGGGGGGATGAGATGATGGGGGGATGAGATGATGGGGGGATGAGATGATGGGGGGATGAGATGATGGGGGAATGAGATGATGGGCGGATGAGATGATGGGCGGATGAGATGATGGGGGGATGAGATGATGGGGGGATGAGATGATGGGGGGATGAGAGATGGGCGGATGAAATGATGGGCGGATGAGATGATGGGGGGATGAGATGATGGGGGGATGAGATGATGGGCGGATGAGATGATGGGGGGATGAGAGGAAAAAGTGCGGCTGGGTACAAGGGGGAAGGTAGAAGGGTGGAACGGAGGAGCAAGAGGTAAAAGTGTGGCAGGGTATAAGGGGGATAGGAGGATCCCTGCACCCTCTCTCCCTCATCCCCGCTGTCAACGAGAGCGTTGTAAGGCCCCGTCCTCGCTTGGGCGGAGCCAACCTTGTGGTCGGATGTTTGGGGGTTGCAGCCAACCTGCAGCAGTGGGCACGGGGGCCATTGCAAGGGCGCCAAGCTGGTGGGCGCCGAACAGGAGGACGCCGCCCTGGACGCCTGGTTGGCAACCCGGACGCCTGGACGGCGTCCTGGGAAGCTGGACGCCGAGCTGGGCGTCGCCACGACTACCCGGGCGCCTTGTCGACGTCGTTTTTTTTTTTTTTTTTTTTTTTTTTTTTTTTTTTTTTTTTGAAGTATACATTAAGGAGGACAATGCATACAACAAAAGCAGTCGTAACTGAGCGTGAGGGCAGGTCCTGTGCACTGCCCAACGTGCTGCCTAGGGCGGAAAGAAAACCCTCCTTGGCTTGTTCCAAATCGCATCAAAACTGGCCGACCACTTCCATTTCTTGTCGCCAACTTCCCTGATCCTCCTCAGCATTTTCTGTTCAGCTTCAGACACCCCTTTGACCCTCTTGTGCTTCGCTGATGTGCCCGATTTCAAACATTTGGCGCCTGTTGCCCTCGTATACACCCGTGCATGCATCCGAAAAGCCGTTCCAATCCTCCTCAGCACCCGCCGGGCCCTGAACTTCTGCCCACGGAAACTGGCTTCACAGCGTTCCACCCACAGCTGGTGGAAGGTAATGGCAATTATCGTAGCTTCTGGAAAATCCGACATGGTGCCGGTTTCCTGGAATAGGAGATCTCCCAGCGAGGTGGGTGTCCGCCCAGGGTTAAGCATGCGCAAGGCCTGCTTGAGACCAGAAACCACTGGCTGAATCCGCGGGCAGCTGAAAAGGCAGTGCTCCTGGGACTCCGAAGCCCTGCAGTACGGGCACGTAGGTTTGCTGCTGAGAAAGTCCACTCTCTCCCCAACCTGCAGATTTAGGTTGTGTACCCGCGTGGGAACATCACGTGGACGGCTCGGGATGGCCAGCGAGTTGCGGGTGCGGATGACACGTCCCCAATCAATCTTCCCACTCCACTTTCCAGTCCACTTCCCCTGCTTAGCCAGGACCGCATCTGGCTTGGACCACAGCTCCCGAAGCTGCTTGAGCGGAGTTGGCTTTCCATCTGTGAAAACCGCCGAGCGGAAGACCGACGCCGCTGCATAACCACCCCCTTTGGATGCCGCTGCTTTTTCCTTACCCCCGTCAATCTCTTGCTCTGAGTCAGGAGTCAGTAGGGTTTTCCACTCAGCCGAGGCTGCTGTAAAGGCCTTGAGTGCCAGTCGAGCCGAGTCTCTGCACCGCAGTTCTTTCTCCAACGTGTCACTGTCCTTAACCTCTGCTTTCCCAGACTGAGAGGTGGTAACTAGATCACCCAGACGTGACTCCCACAGACCCTTCGCTTCTTTCTGTCCTCCGATCGGGTTCGATCCATTGAGAAGCAGCTTCCGGTTAAAAACGACCCTCTCCTTAGCAACCTCCTCCTTATTGCAGGATTTCCCGTTGTCAGCGATAGGCGACTTCATGAAAGCTGCACACGCCTGCTTCTATCGCGTGTCAACCCCTGGCCAGTGCTTCAGCAACCTTTCGTGTGCCAGGAAGGTGTCTTCTCCAAGTGGGAGGTTCGCGGCCTTAAGCATAATCTCCTTTTTTTTGCCGTTCTCCTCCAGCAACAGCCCCCCAATTCTCCGTGCCGCCAGGCAGGCAAGTAGGATCTCCGGGTCCAACACCCCCAATCCGCCGTCAGCTTTGGGCGAGGTGAGAAGTCCCCAGTTCCAAAGCACGAAACCTTTTTCCGGCGATGCGTTGTTCCCTGTGAGGAAGTTGTGAATCAGCTTCATCAACGGCTTCCACACGTCCTCGGGAGGTGGGTACACCTGCGCTTGATATGCAATTCTTGGCGTGATGTAGCCGTTGATTATGACCACTCTCGCCGCAATGGTGAGGAAAAGGGCCTTCCACTTAATCAGCTCCACTATGATTTTCTCGAAGGCTTTTTTCCAGGTGGGGCCGCTGCTGCCAGAGGGGGTGACCCAGACACCCACGACTCGCTCCGCTTCCTCCGCTTTAGCCCACTTGAAACCGCCTATCGTGCCGGGCCGTCTCCCCAGGTTATGGCCAATCGGCAGGACGACCGATTTGTCCTTATTCGTCTTCAACCCCGATAAACCGGCGAAGTACTCCAAGAGTTTTTCCGCCCTGGCGATTTGCCTCTTCCCCTCCAGAAACAAGGTCGTGTCATCGGCGTATCCGACATATACTAATCTCTGATAGGCCTTATTGCAGAGACCCAGCTTTCGTCGGACTGCCTCGTGAGCCAAAGGCTCCACCGCGCATAGAAAAAGGTATGGAGCAAGAGGACAACCTTGCCGCACACCCGATTTGACAGTCACCGCTTCACCCAACCAGCCGTTAATCAGTAGCCGCGTTTTCGTGTCCTTGTGCAGGCCCTCCACCCAACCGACAAATCTGTCCGGGAACCCCATCTCACGAAGGACCGAGAAGAGGAAGTCTCGCGACACCGAGTCAAAAGCTTTTCGGAAATCCACCAGCAACATGTACCAGTCCTCATTTCCTCTTTTTGCAGCTTCAATGACATCCGCCACCACACCAATGGCGTCTGAGATTCTCCTTCCGGGGATGAAGCCGTATTGCTCCGCCGAGATAACCCTGTGCAAGAACGGCTTCATCCGATTCGCCACCACCCGCGCCAGAACCTTGTAAGTGAAGTTCAAAAGGGTGATCGGGCGATAGTTGTCCAGGTTATCTTTGTCGCCCTTTTTATGAAGCAGTATGGTGACAGCTTCTTTGATGCTTGCAGGAAGCGACGCTGTTTCGGAGAAGTTCTGCGCCATTTTCAAGAACTCGCCCCCGAGGACATCCCAGTTCTTCTCAAACAGCTCTTTCGGGAGCCCGTCTTTCCCAGGGGACTTCCCATTCGCCAGCGCTTTGAAGGCCTGCTGCACCTCTGCCTCCGACCAGTCCGCTTCCAGCGTTTGAGCCACCTCAGCATTCAGCGTCCTGCCTGGGAGAGGCTTCCAGCACGCCGACGACGTCCGCCCATCCGCGCCAAAAAGGTCTGTGAAATACTCTGTTGCTGCTTTCAAAATCTCTTTGGAGCCTGTGATTTTTGAGCTGCCAACTTTTAGTTCTGAGATTTGCGTCCGTTGCTTCCTGGCTTTGATCCTTGCCGAGAGGAACGGAGAGGGGACCTCCCCAGCCAGCTCCGTGCTCGTGCCGGTCATCATATGAAGGCGGTCTCTCCTAGACGCATGGTATTCCCGCAGCTGCGTGTCCTTAACCGTCAGCAGATCCCTCGTCCTCTGGCAACTGGGGTACCGCATCTGCTCCTGGTGCAGCTGCGCCACAACCTCGGCAAGGTGAGTCGTGGTTTTCCTGACTCGCTTGTTCTCCTCCTTCATGTATGATCGCAGACCCGCGTTCAATCTCCCCAGCAGCAGCTCAAAGTCACCGTCACCGCCCGATGCCGCCTTGGCAAGGGCGGCTTCAACTGCCTTGCGAATCCCAGACCTTCCGATAGCTGCAGCATGCAGCCTCCAGATCCCAGGGCCCAGGTGAGTTGATGCTTTGATCTTGAAAGCGACCTTGATGCCGAAGCCATGGTCTGAGATGTATCCCTCAGGTCTTATGTGTGCAGCGATCTCCAGATGCGGAAGGAGCGAGCACGAAATAAGAGCGCGGTCAATGCGGGAGCTGGATTGCTTAGAGGCTGCGTAAAAGGTATACTCGCGGAGCTTAGGGTGTAGCGTGCGGAAAGCATCTGAGGGTTGAAATCTGCTGCAGTGAGCGATGAGTCTGTCATTTTCTAGAGAGGAACCAGCAAGTGACGTCCTATCTAGCACTGGGTCCTCTACAATGTTCAGGTCTCCTATCAAGATGACGTGCGAGGATGTTGGGGTCTGGTCAAAGGCGGGACCAACTACGTTGGCTATGAAGGGGCTTCGTTCCGTTGCGTCGGCTGGGAAATAGGCTGCTACAAGGGTTAAAGCAAAACCGGAGCGGCTGGCGGTGGCTACTATTAGTCTACCTGAGGGGTGAGTGTTTATGTTTTGGATTATGATGGATGGATCCCTAGTAAGAACTGCGACTCCGCCGGCTTTGTCTACAGGTGAAGTGGTAAGAACTGAGGTAAAGCAGGATGTTTTCCAGTAAGGGTGATCATCAGGGAGGCGTGTGTCTGAGAGAATAAGTATGTCGGCTGCCGTGCTTGTCCATGATGTTACTCTGGCTTGTTTTGTTCTGTCACCCAGGCCGTTGACATTCAGGCCTGCTACTGAGAGGAAATTTTTGTTACTCATTTAATCACTGACTGGCAGCCGTTGCCCATCCACAGGCTGGTGATGGTGACAACGCTAACAACTGCACTCCATCCGATAATCGCTAACAGCACACGGTTCTCGTACTGCAGTCTTAGAAGCCGAACTCCTTCTTCAGGCTGGCCAGGTTCGCTTTGTCCATCGAGGCTTTCGTGGCGGAGCCCAGCTTCTCCAGGTTCAGCAGGTGAGTGGCGGAAGTGATATGCTCTACAGCGGCCATGAGGGTCTTTCCCTTCGCCTTCCCGCAGCACACTTGCGTGCAAAGCCATTCTTCGCGGTTGCTGCCGGTTGAGACAAGAGCGAGCGCAGGATCTTTCAAGATTGGGGTAATTAGTGCGGAGGTGCGTAGAGAAGCAGCTGCGAGCGCAACAGTGGTCGTCAGTAAGGGGGGTGAAAGGTAAGAAAATAGTATTGACACTGGAACAAGCGATGCTGTTACCATTGATGCAATGAGCCTTTCCCAGGGTAAGGTTCCACTTCCCTATATTGTTCTGCCGCTTTGTGATGAACAGATCATGATGCAGATCATAATGCTGTCCACCGCAGAGCAGGCAGGACAGTGCAGGGTAGTGAACCAACAGCTTCGCGCCGACCTCCATCGGATTGTCAACGACGTGACGCCAGCGGTAACGGTCGCCAAGATGCGGAACCACCAAGCCTTTGATCACGCCCGTGTCAGCTCCAGTGAGAGGGTGAGCCACACGGTGAAAGGCGAAACCATCCTTGAAAGCAGTCTGCTTGCGCATCTTCAACTTAAAGCGGACGAGCAAATCCTTAAGCACATCAGGTACGATGTTAGCCGGAACACGACGAAACAGAACTTCAACGGCAAGCGGGTTAGAAGCCTTTTCTCTCAGGTAAGAAGCATCCTCTGTGAGCATCCTTGTCGACGTCGTGGGCGCCTGCACGGCCTTCTGGAAGGCCAGACGCCGACCTAGGCGTCTGCACGGCGTCCTGGGGGTCCGGATGCCGATCTGGGCGTTTGGTCGGCGTCCTGGAGGAGGGACGCCCGTCTGGAGGCTTGGTCGGCGTCCTGGGCGCCTGGACGCCGGACTGGGGACTCTGGGCATCCGTGGCCGGCTATGGACTGCGCTGGTCGGCCAGGCGTGGTTGCCCGGTCGACCGGAATACCCGGGCGACGTGTGCGAGTGTCGCCAGGGTGGAGTATGCGAGGCCGACCTCGGGGGTGGTATCCCGAGGTCGACGTGGCTGGTGGGCGCAGTCGCTGGCTTGGAGTCTGCCAAGCGTCTGCGCTGTGCTCGTGACAAGGTGTGGAGCGCCAACCAGCTGCGCACACCTGCGAAGCAAGTGCACCGTTGTCCTGTGGGTGCAACGCTGTACAGCCGACTTGCTGCAGCGCTGACACACCGTGGACTGCAACGTTGGCGAACCGCTACTCTGCTACGCTGGAGTGGTGCGAGCACAGCTGCGCTGGAGCGCGGTCGACCGTGCTGCGCTGGAGGCCGACCACCAGCCTAGCTAGCACTGATGTAGTCTGCGATGCCAATTTTGTTGCTACCATTATTGTCATGTTTTCTTAGTGAAACTCTTGCCAATTCTCCCCATGAAGTAGCAAGCAGCGTGAACACAAGGAAACGACTAAGTGAACGAACGCAGAGATCACAAGAGCACACGTGCCTAGCCCGTAGCCTAGCTCCCGTTGCAGCAGTTATCTCCGCATGGTGCGGTGAGCGTGGACGACACCGCGACGTAGTTCAGTCTAGCTGACTTACCGACCGTGTTCGTAGACCGGCAGCCGTGCAGTCACTAGCGTGCGCGTAGGCGACGCCGAGGTGATTGACACCCTGGCTGGACGGCTGGAGGATGCGAGGAGACGCCATGAGGCCCAGGAGTACGGGGCGATACCCTGGGCAGTCGTCGAGGCAGGACTCCGCTCCATGTGGGCGGCGGAGCACCCCCCTTCTCGGCCTGCCTCTCCTCGACCGGTGAACGACGATGGCGGCGTCGATGTGGGCGTCTACGCCGGTGGAGGCTAGGTTGGCAGCAGTGCGGGAGACACGTCAAGGCAGCGAGGTGTGATACACGCCGGTGAAGCCGACGGCATTCAGGCGCGAACGGATGCAGTTGTCGGCGGCTGTAGGCTCCTCGCAGGGCGACGCCGGTGGGCGTCCAAGTGGATTGTCGCCGATGTCGGCGACCCAGGTGACGACGGGCGGGATTGCACCGAGCTACGGCTACTTCAAGTTTACGTCGGACAGGATCTCGGTCACCCCGCCGCTCGTTGGTCGACAAGACATCCTCACCTGGAAGGAAGCCATCGAGCCCCAGCTGGAGATGGCCGGGCTGATCAGCTTCGCCCGAGGGACCGTGGCAACGCCGGGGGAGCACCACCCCGACCTGCATGCGGAGTTTCGCGCCGTGCAGTTGTTGACCTTCACGGTCATCTCGCGGTGCTGCTCGCCGGGCGTGCAGATCGCCTTGAAGTGGTGCCGAGAGTACCTCGACGCCGGCCACCGGCCATGTAACTTCATCGAGTCGACCTATCAAGTCACCGACGACTTGTTCATCGCCCAGCTGGAGGGACAGGTGACGCACCTGCGCATGGGCGACGAGGAGACGGCGACCGACTACTGCAACCGGGCCCGGCAAATTCTCGCCACCATCAGGATGGCGGGCGCCTAGTACTCGACGGCGTCGTACGTCACCCACGTCATGCAGGGGCTCTCGAGCAGCTACAACCTCCTGAAGCGGCTATCCATGGCACCGAGCACGAGGATGACGCTCAACAAGGATAACCTGACCTCGTATATCCAGAAGGACGAGGCGATGCAGGAGGCCAAGCGATCCCAGGAGCTCTTGGCACAGGCCAACTTCGTCGCCCCGACGAAGCAAGGAGGCCGACCAGGGCAGCGTGGGCAGTCGGGCGGCAGCGGTAGCAGTGGCTGGAAGCCGAGCAGGGACGCCGACAAGAAGAGGTCGGCCAAAGACGGCGGTCGAGGAGGAGGAGGTCGAAGACGGGAGTGCTGGCTGTGCGGCGACCCCGACCACCTCTCCTACGAGTGCCCCGACCGCAGTGACTCCGACGACGACGACGCCAAGGGAGGCCGCGGGAGGTCTGGCAGTCGTTGTCCTCGTCGAGGAGGAAACAAGCCACGCAAGGAGAAGCAGTCGTCGACGTCGACCTCAGCAAAGGACGCCGATTCCTCTGCATGTGGCAAGGGGCGGGACGACAAGACGGCGTCGTAGAGCCGACCCTCTCGCTGGCGCTAGAGGCCAGGGAGGACTTCCAGGCGGTGGCGGCAGCTGTGCAGGGGAACCTGTCAGAATCCCAACCACTAGACCATTGGGATAAAAGGGCTTGTTAAGTAGCGGGTTAGAGTGCGCCCATAACCCCCCAGGCAAACGCGCCTGTAACCCCCCGTAGGATCAATCGGGCATCCACAGTGCAGATCTACTGACACCCCCCCACACTGGGAGGCCCAGGACTGAGCACAGCGGCAACGGCCTACATGTGCATACACCGGGATTCGAACCCGAGACCACTCTGACACCATGTCAGAATCCCAGTCACTAGACCATTGGGATAGAAGGGCTTGTTTCAGTAGCGGGTCAGTGCGCCCATAACCCCCCATGGCGAACGCGCCTGTAACCCTCTCCAGGATCAATCGGGCATCCACAGTGCAGATCTACTGACACCCCCCCACACTGGGAGGCCCAGGACTGAGCACAGTGGCAACGGCCAACATGTGCATACACCGGGATTCGAACCCGAGACCGCTCTGATACCATGTCAGAATCCCAACCACTAGACCATTGGGATAAAAGGGCTTGTTAAGTAGCGGGTCAGAGTGCGCCCATAACCCCCCAGGCAAACGCGCCTGTAACCCCCCGTAGGATCAATCGGGCATCCACAGTGCAGATCTACTAACAGAACCCGGCGGTGGTACTGCTCGACACAGGTTGCTCCCACCACCTGATGGGGACGAAGGAAGTCTTCGTCCACCTGCAGGCGAGCGGCTCCATCAAGCACGTGCGCGGCTTCAATGGGGCACTGCAGGACGTCCGGGGCCGCGGCACTGTCGCTCTGCAAGGGGAAGCCGGGAAGCAGGTGCTCATCCCCGATGTGCTCTACGTACCCGGCGTCCGGGCAAACCTGCTTTTAGCCGGCCAACTGAAGGAGCATGGCGTGAAGCTACAGGAGGACGGCGACGGGATGCTGCTCGTCTCGGCAGCAGGGGAGGTGCTCGGTCGGGCAACGTACAACGGGCGTGTCCTCTGCACCGACCTGCGCCCCTGCTTGGCCACGCCAACAACGCCTACCACAGAGGTAGTGGCCCTGCGCGCGATCGTCTCGGCGACGAAGGCAACGTCGGACAGGATGCACGCTAGGCTTGCGCACGTCGGCATGGACACCATCAGGAACTCGGCGAAGAACGAGGTCGCCATTGGGCTGGACCTCAAGTTGGCGACGGGCGCCGACTCACCGTGTGTCTCGTGCGTCGGCGGGAAGCTGGCGCGGCACACCTTCCCCGACCAAGGCTCCGACGCCGACGACGTGCTGACCGTCGTGCACATCGACCTGTGCGGACCGTTCCGCGTGGCTGCCAAGGATGGCAGCCTGTACTTCTTGTTGCTGAAGGACCGCAAGACCCGCTACGTGTGGGTCAAGACGGTCGCCAAGAAGTCAGATGCATTGCCGGTGTTCGTGCAGTGGCTGGCGGTGGCTGAGCGGCAGACGAAGAATTCGGTGTTGATGCTGCGCTCTGACCGGGGAGGGGAGTTCCTCGGGAAGCAGTTCACCGACTTCATGAACGGCAAGGGGATCGTCCACGACCTGACCTGCCCATACACCCCATAGCAGAACGGCATGGCGGAGCGGGAGATGAGGACGGTGGTGGAGTCGGTGCGGACGATGCTGCTGCACATGGGCGTGCAGCACCACTGGTGGCACCTCGCTCTCCGACAGGCCGTCTGGGTCCGCAACTGCCTTGAGAGGTCGGCGCTGCCGCCGGGGACGACGCCGTACCAGCTGCTGACCGAGAAGAAGCCCGACTTGTTGCTGGCGCGGATGTGGGGCTGCATGGCGCAGTTCTTAGTCCCCGAGCAGCAGCGTGGTGGGAAGCTGCAGCCGAAGGCACGGTGGGGCCTTCACCTCGACGTGTCGGAGGAGAGCAAGGGCTGGGAGCTCCTCGACATCTCCGACAACCCGGTGGTCACCACATTGGACGTGGTGTTCTACGAGAGCATGTCGCTGGACATGTGGAAGTCGGCGCACGGGCCGGTGTCAGGGCGGATGCCGGTTCACCCGCCAACGGATACCTCGACGGCGTCGGTGCCTCTGCTCGCCGAGGTCGGTGCGCTTGCTGGTGGGGACGCCGAGGACGTCCCTGGTCCCTACCTTTCACCTGCCCCTCCCCTGGACGCCGACTTGCATGGGCTGACCCCGACGTCGGCCTTCGGTGATGAGGGGAGACGTGGGGCGTCACCTGTGGCGCCGGGCCCAAGAATCGCCGGTGGCCGACGTGATGCTGTGCAAGTCGGTGTGGGAACAAAGTTAACGCCGACCGGGAGGCAGCAGGTGGTGCAGCCAACTTCGGTGAAGCCGGTGAAGGAGACGTCTGCAGAACAACAGCTGACAGAGGAGCAGGCAGCAGCGACGCCGATCAAGGAGCAGTTGGCGATCGGGAAGTCGTCAGGGGAGCAGTCGGCCGGGACGCCGGCTGAGGAGCAGCAGGACGCCGAGGGCAGCGACGACGGCGACAATGGAGGGGATGCCGAGGAGGTCCAGCCGGGACCACGGCGTTCAGGCCGACTTCGGAGGCCGCCTAACTTCTTCGTTCCCGCCGCCTTCACCACGGTGTACGACGTGGACGATGACGACGACCTACTATACGACGACGCCGAGGGAGATGAGGAGTCTCCGGAGCTCGACCCCGACATACTGGCCGACCCCGAGCACCGTTGGGACATCTCGACGATGACGGTGAAGGAGGCGTTGGCAAGCTGGAAGGGCCCGGCGGTGAAGGCCGCCTTGGAAGAGGAGATCCGCAGCCTCATCAATATTGGAACGTGGGAGCTGGTCGAACGCCCGCCGGGAGTGAACATCATGAAGAACCGGTGGGTGTTGACGACGAAGTACCACATCGACGACACCGTCGAGCGAGAGAAGGCGAGGCTGGTCGTGAAGGGCTTCACGCAGGTGTACGGCGCCGACTACGACAAGACGTTCTCGCCGGTGGGCAGCTACGTCACGCTGAGGATCTTCCTCAGCATCGTCGCCATCCTCAACCTCAACCTGATGCAGCTCGACATGAAGAACGCCTTCCTGCAGAGCAAGCTCGACCGGGTGCTGTACATGCACCAGCCGGACTACTTCAACGATGGATCCGGCCGGGTGTGCAAGCTGCTAAAGAGCCTGTACGGGCTGAAGCAGTCGCCGCTGCTGTGGTACTTGGCGCTCAACGACGTGCTGGTCAGCGCTGGGTGGAAGAAGAGCCAGGTCGACGAGGCTCTTTACTTCAAGGTCGGTAAGGACGGAGTGGCCTGCTGGGTGCTGGTCTACGTTGACGACCTGCTCGCCGCTAGCAGCAGCGCCGCGATGCTGAAGGAGCTAAAGGAGCTGCTGGAAGCCGCCTTCGAGCTGCGCGAGATCTCGCCGGTGCAGAAGTACCTCGGACTGGAGATTGTGCGCGATAGGTCGGCGGGGAAACTGTAGCTGCACGAGCAAGGCTACGCCGACAAGCTACGTAGGCGCTTCATCGACGAGGAGCAGACTGGGCGCACCCCGAAGACGCCGGTCTCGGTCGACGCCTACGCCGAGCTCACCTTCGACGACGAGGAGGCGCAGGAACGCCAGGAGGAGGAGTACCGGCAGAAGGTCGGCTTGTTGCAGTTCGCGGCGACAACGACGAGGCCGGACATTGCCTTTGCCTGCAGCAAGCTGGGGAGCGGCCTCACGGTGAGGAGCGACCAGCACTGGTACGAGGTCGACCGTTGCCTTGCCTACCTCGCCAACACACGTGACACCGCCTTGGAGTTCGGCGGTGGACCTGAGTCGCTCGAGCTGGTCGGCTACGTGGACGCCGACGATGCCAGTGACAAGCAGAACAGGACAAGCACGGGTGGCTACGTGTTCGTCTACGGTGGGGTCGCAGTCTCCTGGTCGAGCCAGCGCATCAAGTGTGCGACGCTGTCGTCAACCGAGTCGGAGTACGTGGCGGCCACTGAAGCTGGCAAGGAGGGACGCCGCCTTCGCTTCCTCCTCGCCGAGTTCCGGCAGCTGGACGCCGGGAAGCCGACTGTCCTGCGCGTGGACAAAAAGTCGGCCATCACGGTCGCCGAGGGCATGGGATTGACAGGCAACCTCAAGCACATGGAGCGGCGACAGACCTGGGTGCAGCACATGGTGAAGCAAGGGAAGTTCTCGCTGAAGTACATCCCGACCGCTGAGCAGCCAGCCGACTTCCTAACGAAGGCGCTGCACTATCAAGCCTTCAACCGGTGCTCTGTCGCAATCGGCCAGGTGCGCTTGGCCAATGTGGGCGACGACGACAACGACGTGCAGCAGTAGGTGCCATGCCGTCTTGCATGGCTGGTGCGGTGACCGGCGTGCTGTGTGTTGGGTGCACGCCAACGGGCTATTCTTGGAGCTGTACTGCCGTGTGGGCTGGGGGCCCAAGCGTGAACGCGGCAGGGGAGTGTCAACGGAAGCGTTGTAAGGCCCCGTCCTCGCTTGGGCGGAGCCAACCTTGTGGTCGGATGTTCGGGGGTCGGGAAATTGCGTACGCCAAGCGTCAGTCAGGCGGCCAAAGCAGCGCAGTGTGGCGGGTGGTCTTCCACACGTCTCCCCACTACGGTTGCAGGTGGGGAGAACGTAAGTGCAGGGACCGGCACCCCCAGACCTCTGACGCCCAGCGTACCACTCACGTAGCTGGTGGGGCGACAAGGTCTCTCGAGGGTGCTGCTGCTGCTGGCGCTGACCACCGCCAAAGCCTCCCCGCTGCACAGCGCCACCCCGACCAGCACCACCGCCGCCGCCACCCCCACCACCGCCGCCGCCATCGCCACCCAGCGATACCCATAGCTCCAACAAGGCGCATTGGACCGGTACATTTTGCCAACGCGGTCAGATTCCGGCTCGAATTGCCCTTCTCCACTCCCAAGAATTGTGACTGCGCGGACCACGTCGAAATCACGGACCCCCGCCTCCCAAATCACATCCTTCGCTGTGGCACCGGCAAGCATCGCATCAACACCCACAACGAGCTGCAGGATGCATGCATTAGCATGGCTCAGGATGTGGGATTCGGTGTCCACAACGAATCGGCCGCCCATTGTCCCATCGAGGAGCAGACGGCCGATTTCACCATGACCGACAGGAGCAGCGGGGCGGTTTGGGTGTGTGATGTAACTGTGACAGACCCCATCAGCACATGGGACCCGGAGGCGTAGAAAGGCAGAGGATGGGCGGCCAGAGAGCAGGCGGACAAAAAGATTCAACACTATGCGAACAGACCTGAGACAGTCGGCTTCTTTCCACTGGCGATGGAGACCTATGGTTGCCCGTGTGCAGAGGTCCCCGTCTTCCAGGAAACTCCTGGTAGACACGGCGGCTCGGCGCCACTTCAACGCCGATTCTAACTCCTATCATGCCACTAAGTTTCTGCATCAGTTCAGGCAGCAGTGGTCGGTTGCTCTTCAGAGAGCACCTCCGCCGCCTCCACCTCCACCACCGCTACCGAAGCCCCCACTCCCGCCACCACCCCCACCTCCACCCCCACCCCCTTTGCCGCCTCCACCGCCACCACCGCCGCCCCCACCATCCCCTCCAGCATCCTTGCCCCCCTTGCCCTTGCCGTGGCGGCGCCTCCCACTAGGAGCAGACGCAGCGGCGACCGACTTGGTGCCGACGAGGTCGACAGCAGCAGCAGAGGCAACAGAGGGCAAAAGAGGGACGGGGGAGCACCCCTCAAAGAAAGGGGCACGAGGGTCACCACGAGAGGCTCCTACAGCGACTATACTCTTCTCTGCTGCAAAGAGGCGCTCCTCGAGGAGGTCAACGGTGAGCGTGGTGGGGCAAAGGGACAGGAAGTGGTCCCTGACCGAGCGAAGGGAGTCAGGGAGCTGGGTGACGAGGTAGTAGAGAGTGACGTACATAGGGGGGGGGGGTTTGCGGCGCAAAACTCAGCAGGAAGTGCAGCGCGGTAGCGGGTGTCACTTGTGCAGAGGTGCGTAATGAGGTCAGCGACTATGGCAAACGCAGCTAGGTCAGGGAACAGGTACGGCAGCATGAGACGGCTACGGGCAGCAGTGGCAGGGGAGGAGTAGCGCGCAACAACAGCGTCGTACAGAGTCCTAGCGGTCTTGTACTGGCTAAAGTGCGCACGCTCAGCAGACGGTAGGTGACTGCGAATAGCAAGACGGGCAGCAGCATCGTGCGTGGTCCACTGCGAGCGAACAGTACTGTCAGCATTGGCAGCAGGTGCAGCAGAGGCTCCAGACGTGAGATAAAAAAAGCGATAGTCCATCCTTGCTATCGCACTGCGGAAAGAGCTGCAGATCATCGACCTAGACCTCAATATCGACCGCTCGACCCTCAGCATCGAAGGTAAGGACATTAGGACTAGCCATGATGAAACGCCCAAGTCATATATGATGTCCTTACATATAATGTCCTTACTCATACATATGATGAAACGGCACCGTGAGCAGGGCTCTCGGTATCAGGGTAAACATCTTGATTCTCAGGTACATTCCGTATGTTTTTCCGATGAATCCTGATTCATCACGATTGTTTAAAAAAAAAATCCGGATCATTTCCGGATGATTTGGCCGAGCAATCGGGTCTTTCAGTATTGTTTTGATAACCATCCTGAGTTATTAGCTCGGTACTAGTTTCTGTGTGGGGGTGTCGAATGCAAAGTCCATATAATCTCCTTACTCAGATATGATGTAAGTGTTAGGTTTGTTAGTCCTTGCCCATCTGACTTGGGCGTTTCAGAGCCTCTTGCGCCTAAGGTGATGAACCGCTGTTGTGCGTTTTCGGATTTTGGGAAAAACACACGGACGAGGAAGGGAAACTTTTGAGGGATTGCTGATTCTTCAAGGTCTTTTCTCAGGGGAACCCGGAGCCTTCCGTGCTTTCAAAAACAAAAAAATTGCCTTGGACGTGAGGCGGCAGGTCAAGGGGGGGCCGCGACGGAGGCGGCAGGTCAGGGGGCCGCGGAAGTGGCGGCAGGTCAGGGCCGCGACGACGAGCAGGCGGGCTGCGGCGACGGGGCGGGCGGGCCGCGAAGGGCTGCGAAGAGCGGCACGGCCGCTCGCGTAAGGGCAGCAAGGCAGTTCGCGGCAGGGTGGCGACGGGCCGTAGAGGGGCCGCGACGGGAGGGTCGGCTGCGACGGGCCGCGACGGCAGGGTCGACTGCGACGGGACGCGACGGCAGGGTCAGGCCGCGACGGGCCACGACGGCAGGGTCAGGCCGCGACGGGCCACGATGGGAGGGGCAGGCCGCTAGGGGCCGCGACAGCAGGGCGGGCCGCGCAGAGCACGACGGGCCTAAGGGCAGAGTGCAATGCGCGCTTCAGGCAGGGGCAGGAAAAAAAAAATCGAAGTGGTGGAAAAAAACGGTCCCACTAGGGAACCCGCTCTATACCATGTGAGAATAATAACGAGGAATGAATTGACTAGGAATGAGAAAGGTACAAGTATGAAACCCTAGAAAAGTTGTACCCCCTATTGGCTACCCCACTACAGCCTACACAGGCTATATCATGTATGTCTGACAGCATACAACAGAAGGACCCGCCCAGGCTTCATTTACAAACTTGAGCCTGCACGAATCATATCCTAGAACTGACACAAGCAGGAGCTCATCGCCCTTTTGTCAGCGAAAGCAGAATCCATTGTAGCCAGTCCAGCAGTTCGTGAAGGAATCTACCTCACGGAGCTTGTGCAGGAAACAAGGACAGAGATGAACGTGTCATTCAAGTTTCTCTGCGACAACCACAGCACGATCAAGATCGCGAACAAGCCAGGCTTCGCCAACCGCATGAAACACATCGCCCTGCGTTACTTCTTCGTCAAGGACGAAATTGACAAGGGAAAGGTCCAGCTCACCTACTGCCCAACTAGCAAATTGGCAGCTGGCTTCTTGACGAAGAAACTCCCACGTCAGAAGTTCCTGTACTGCTCGGACCTGTGCGGAGTTGTTCAAAAGAGCCACGTGGCGCACCTCCAGGAACGAAGGGGGGTATTGGGATATGAAGGGATTAAGTATAGCATTCCCGTAGGTGCAGCTGTATCACACCCGTCGCAACACTCACGGCAGTATCGGATCAGCCTGTAACAAGTGCAGTATCGGATCAACAGTCACAAAGGTCAACTGTCGCGACTGTTGACCATCTGGACCGATTGACCCACCAGCGACAAATGGCAACAGGTGTAGCCGTGTGTACAGTTATACGCAGTGATTCGGTAAGAAGAAGAAGAAGAAGAAGAAGAAGAAGAAGAAGAAGAAGAAGAAGAAGAAGAAGAAGAAGAAGAAGAAGAAGAAGAAGAAGAAGAAGAAGAAGAAGAAGAAGAAGAAGAAGAAGAAGAAGAAGAAGAAGAAGAAGAAGATGATGAAGAAGAAGAAGAAGAAGAAGAAGAAGAAGAAGAAGAAGAAGAAGAAGAAGAAGAAGAAGAAGAAGAAGAAGAAGAAGAAGAAGAAGAAGAAGAAGAAGAAGAAGAAGAAGAAGAAGAAGAAGAAGAAGAAGAAGAAGAAGATGAAGAAGAAGAAGAAGAAGAAGACTAGTCCAAGTCACTGTAGAACTGCCTGTGAAGCAGTTAAAATAAGGGAATGTACCGCTTAGAGTACATGGCTAGCTAGACCTATTTATTGTGTGTATTTTATCATTTTAATCAATCTTGTCATTTACATCCACTATGCACAAGGTTCCTACCACAAGTCTTCCACTATCAGAACTCTCTAAGGCAATCCTATTCTATCCAAGATCCTCACTCGAGCAAGTCAGACGGTTTGAGGTATGTGCAAGGGGCGTGCCGTCTTGTGAACTAAAGCTGATCGTATCCGACTTTTTTGTGAAGTGCAGTGTTACAACCCGAAATATGTTAACTGAAGGGGCTATGTTCGCTAATGCGAGTGGGCCCACTCCCACTTGGTGTCGACCGAAGGCCAAGAATAAGACACGTCGAACCGGCACTTCTCACATGAGACAACCTATCCCCTGCCATTTTTAAAGCCCAAGACCTGAATTACTCAACGGAAGTCAACGCTAAAAACTAGGTTTGGGAGGCAGGCACGGAGAGGTTTGGTTGGGTTTCGAGAGACTTTCACTCGCGAAACCAATTTGTGACAAAAGTTTCTCGCTTCCCATGATGGGTGGGGTCCTTCCCACAACCAGAAAAGCGCGTGCATACCTAGCTGTGCACAGTTTGAGATAGCACGCAGAGTATTAGGTATAGAGCATACCTGTAGACAGGGCAGGGCGTCGGCGTTCACTCAAAAGGGATCAGATGCGCCTTACAATGTGGGTGGCGCGGATTTCGATGATGGCGCCCAAATCTAGTGTTCGCTGGGTGAAGATTTTTGTGTAGAAATGCAGGTTATTGTGCAACTACTGCGTAGCGTAAACTCGCGGTGAAAATCGAATCACACCCGTTTGCCCAAGCGTGACAATCCCCTCGCCCTCGCCTTCCTTCCCCTAGGTCCTACGCGTCCGCTCTCTGTCGCCCGCGTCGTCGCCATCACTTCCGCAGCTCGTCGCGTTCGCGACCCCAGCCCGTCGCCTTCGATCCGCCCGTCGCCTTCACTTCCCCCCCCCCCCCCCCCCGTCGCCTTTACTCCCCCCTCTCCCCCCTGCTTCCGTTGCCTTCATTTCCCCCTCCCATCGCCTTCGCTTCCCCCTCTCGTCGCCTTCACTTTCCCCCCTCCCGTTGCCTTCACTTCCCCTTCTCGTCGCCTTCTCTTCCCCCTCCCGTCGCCTTCATTTTCCCCTTCCGTCGCCTTCACTTCTCACCCCCGATGCTTTCAATACCCCCTCCGGTCGCCTTCCCCACATGCCGCACTCACTTTCCCGCCCGTCACACTCGCTTCCCCACCCGTCGCCTTCACTTCCCCTCCCATTGCCTTTCGCTCTCTCCTACTCACTCTCTTTCGCCATGCTCACTCTCTTTCCCACTGCTCACTCTCTTCCCCCCTGCCCACTCTTTTCCCCACCCTTCACTCTCTCCTCTCCTGTTCAACCCCCTGTTCTCACCCCTCTTCCCCCCTTCACTCAACCGTTCCCCCCTGCTCAACCTCTTTCCCTCTGCTCACTCTCTTCCCCCCTGCTCTCTCTCTTTCCCCCTGCTCACACTCATCGGAAAAATGTAAGAGGCGTTTTGGGTCGTAAACGCCTTCTTGAGCGTTGTTTATGTTGTGGTTACCGTGATTGACCCCCACGGCAATAAACCACCAAGGGTATTGCCCTTTGTGATTGGAAAATGGGGGGGTGTCGGAACCACCATATATCCCCGATTGTTTCAGCTACAGTGTTCGAGCGTTAACCGGGATTAATTGGGTTTGGGCGGTAGTTTACGACAGTTCGCGAATGGGGAAGGTTGAGTGGGAAACGAGCTGAGGGGCCAACCACGATCCACGTCGACCCCAATTTCTGGCGAGTTGGTGGTGGTAAACGGCTGCAGACGACCGTTTACGATCGTCCAAGTGGTGGCAGCCGAAAATCGTTGAGCGCGAATGTTACCACCTGTAACATTACAGCACTACACATTCCTATAGAGTATTCCGAAACTGCTGTTCACTTATAATGTTTAAGATTTGGATTGTGTTTGTAACCAGTATGACGACGACCTATTACAGTCCAGTAATAACAATAGCAATAGCGATTCATAAAATTTAAAAAAATCGTCAATAACAATTAATTTCTTTTAGCTCAGTACAGAAACACACGCTCCTAACCCACCATCTAGAACTTAGTGCAGAACTTATTTAATCATAACTTAGTACAAACCGATTGTTTAGCACTACAAAAAACGAATCTACACACCTACACAAAACCACTACATAAACACACGCTCCCACCCCTCCATCTATACAATGGTAACCACTTGAAGGGAGCTGCACAACAGAAGTGGCGGTGAGTGAGACGAAAACAAATCATGTAAGGCTTACAGGCACAGCCTTGGCGTATATGGAGTTATCATCTTCACAAGGTGAACATATTGTAGGCGACCTGCAAAACAACATCACGGAAACAGACAACGGAGTCTTAGGAAGCTAGCGTGACTGAGATCTTACCGCACCTTACAGCATGGTAGCGTGCATATCTCCCAGCATGCGTTATTATTGCACGCCTGTAAAGACAAAAGCAGTTGTGCACAAAAAATGTAACTACAAAAACACGGATCTCAGGTCATATGTTTGGCAGAAACAATACTTCGGCTAAACCGCGCAGTTAGTAAGAATATTAACTTACGTAGCTTGGTCAGCGCGGAAAACTACGTAACCGCATGAGTCGAGAACGATGA